CTGCCACTGACCCCAAACTGCGCCGGAGAAGGGTTTCCTCTGCGCGCCCCTTTGCCCGGTCCCGATCCCCTCTCGCTGGGAAGGAGCCTGGGCAGAGACCGCACATCCCTCGCTCGGTGCTTGTTTTTCCCTCGGGGAAAACGCTGGTTTTGGTTCGCTGCCGGCACGGCGTGGCTGCTGGCCTGGCGCGCAGCCCCGTGCCTGGTTTGGCTTTCCGCCTCCCCGCGGCGCAGTGAATCACGCAGCTTCTCTCCTCCCCCCAGACACGCCGAAAGCCAGCAGAAGCACATGGCAGAGAAGATGCCGGCAAAATGAACCCCGGAGCCCCGGGAGCAGAGCTCGAGCGAGACTTCATTTTGCTTCTGTGTGTGTCCAAGCGCTGATGCCCACGGCGGCGCACGAGAAAACCAGTGTTAGTCATTGACCATGTCTGAAGCTTTATGTCCGGTGATTGGCCTCTGCTTCTTAATTTATTTTAATTTTTTTACTCGTGCCACTAAATATCAGGCATTTTAATAATATTATTACAAAAAATGTACAGTACTTATAACATTATAAATCACGGGTGAGAAGAGAGGGTAGTTTAACTTTATTTTTGTTTGTTTAGAGATTTTCAGTTGAACGATATTTTACCATTGACTACTTTTTTATTCTTCACTGTAGTTTTAAAATAAAGAAACTGTACTTGACGGTGCTATACAAGTCAAAAAAATACATGCCTGCCTCGTAGTGAAGTTGTAGCTTTCAGTAATATGTACATTTTAATCAGTTTTCAACATTTTGTGAATGTTGACTACCTGACATTCATTTTTAGATGTGCTATTAACATTCGGTTGGATTCAGAGAGTTACCTTGAAAGTTTTATGTATAAATATGTAAAATAAAAATTTAAAAAATTGTTTCATATGATACGTCTTTTTGTTGCCTAGTGGTTGACTCTGGTGATGCACCAGTAATGTATTCCTCGAACTAAATGTGCCATTCCTAATTCATCATCACCAGAAAGGGCCTTTTTTTTTGCCGAGCACATGAGATTACGGAGAGAAGGCAGGATTTTTGTAGAGTTATTTATTTGTAAGTTTGTAGTGTATGTATGACATGGACTTAAGAGATTCCTATATAATAACATTCACTGAGCCCTGATTTTGTGACTCTTGTTAGAATCAGCAGGCACATACCGTAGATGCGGGGTTTTTTTAATATATATATTTTATTGTTTGGGCTAAATATTTAAGTGACTCACCAATGTCAGAAATAAAAAAGAAATCTATGTTAAAAATCTAAGCAGCATATTAAATGTATTATATATGGTAATTACTCACCTCTCCGCCTTTGGGCTGGGCTCCCCGTTAGCAGCCGCGTTCGTCAGCCTGGATGTGTCGTCTTCCGCGCGTGCAGGAGGAGGGAGACTGGGGGACTAATGGGTCTGGCTCCATCCCTCCTTTGTTT